ACAGGTTCAGAGGTTAAATCGGTAAATGCCCTGTTGTGTGGTTCAATATTACAAACAAGCCTGCAAATGACGTATTGGGGTCGTGACACAAAGGTCTACTACATACAAACAAAAATAATGAGTGTATTTGTTAATGAGGCAGATGGCTAAATATAGCTCAGGCAGCACTTAGCATTGCTGTAAAATCCACAAAATATTCTGTTCTGTAATATTCCTTCTGCAATTTTACAAAGCCCACAAATTCAGCACATCTCATTTTTTTAAAGGAGTAGACAAGGGAACAATTATGATATGAGTTAAAAAAAGATCATATTAAGGAATAATGGATATACATACAGTATATGTCAGAATGGGGAATTATATTTTGCAAATGGTATGCAAATAGGAGCATTTCTATTCAATGTATTACATAATGCTACATGATTTGCTACCATGTTGAAGCTCTATATATATTAATTTGTATAATGCTTAATAAATAATCTCCCTTTCTATAGGCTTAAAATCATTTTCTTAATCAGTATTTTTTGTCTTTCTTTCTTGTAAAAATATCTAATATTTAAAATAGGAGTCATTTATTTGAGAAACAATTTTGTTTGATTTTATTACTTGTTTTCAGAGAATATATTGAATCCTTTTTATTCTTACCCGATTAGACATTTGATTTGGACATTTATTAAGTAAAATAAACTCAAGATCTGAAATTTAGTAAATTAAATTTTCTGCTATTTTACTTAAGATGTAAAATATGTTTTCAAATAATATATGACTTAGAACAGCCAACTGGGGGCAAAAAAAAGAACTTAATTATGAATTGTATATTCTTTGAAAACTTGTCTTAATATTAAATTTAATGTGCGTGTGTGTGTATATATATATATATATATATATACATACACACACACTAAATTTACAATTACAATTAAGTTTTTTTTTTTACCCACATCCTTAAAACAAGATATATATCTAATTATATGGGGCGGAGGGGACCTGAGTCCCCCACCCTCCCTCTTCCTCCATATGCTTATTTGTATCTCCTCCATTATGAAGTCACCCCACCTTTCTAAAGACCAACCTGCAGCGCCGTGTCCTTGGGGACCGTTCCTTAGCAACCGCATCAAAACAAACAGACAGCTCGCCACTGTGATGTAAAATGAGATCACAATGTATGCAAAGGGAAGCCGGTGATGTCGCAGTGGGATTCAAGCAAAACCTACAGTGCAACAGGGGTCACTTTGTTTTTAGTTTTTTATGGAGAAGGGGAGAGCGAGCAATCGCTGTACTTCTAACATGTTTGCCAAAACAAATGGAGAACATCTCTTGCTCTCTCAGCTGCAATAATCTCATTCCTGTTTGCAGGGGCTGCAGTGCCACAACCCATCACAGTGAATATTTACATACTTTTCTCTTTCCCATTTGCAGTCTTTCTTTCACACCGTATCTCTTCCCGCTCACTATCTTTTTCTCTTTTCTACTCGCTACACCCCCAGCATCTTCTCTGCTCATATAAATCTGACACCCCACAGTAAATCACTCCACAAAAAAAACTATATTTTGTTTACAAAGAGTGTGATCCATTTGCTGTCCTCCTCCCTTGGCATAATGTAAAATAATCCTTCTACACACTTCCTCCTCCTTAGATTGTGGAAATGCTGAGATCTGGAGAACAGCATTTGGTAAACAAAATACTTACATCTGGAAGACGACAATAAGACAGAGATATGTAAGGCTGGTATTCTTTAGAAAAAAAATAGCTTTGAAGTCTTAAGGCATAATAAGACCTGTGCTCAGTTTAAATGAGTCAGGCTGTGACTTGAGTGTAAAAGAGCCTCCCACGCCAAAGTGAAAAGGGCTGAAACAGGCGTTGAGTCGTCTCCTTGGGTATCTACTTTCTTGTTCATACCACGCTGGACAGCTGTAATTTAACGGCAAGTGCTCTGACAACAAATCTACACTACAAATCTCCATTCCTGAAAGACCTTTCCCTTGTGACCAGAAAACCAACAGCTGAGAAATCCTTTCTGTACGAGTGGCTACACTGCAAAAAAAAAATCCATTTATTAATCAAGGTTTAGTCTTGTTTTCCAATAAAAATACCTAAACATCTTTAAAACAGGAAACATAATCTCAGGGAATTTTTAATTTAAGTTTTTTTTTCCCCTCCTTGATTTAAGCAGAAATCTCACTAAATTTAGTTAGAAATGTTTTGGGTTCAGTAAAAGTTATGCTCAATCGACAACATTCATTGCACAATGTCTGTTACCACAGAAAATAATTTAAACTTGCCTCACAGTTTTTAAAAACAAAATAGGCATATTTTTAAATCAGGCACAAATCAATTTTTTTGATGGTTGAATTAGGAAAAATAAGCTGTTCCCTGTTAAATAATATCTTAAAGGGGTCATATGATGCAATTTCAATTTTTCCTTTCTCTTTGGAGTGTTACAAGCTCTTGGTGCATAAAGAAGATCTGTAAAGTTGCAAAGACTAAAGTCTCAAATCCAAAGAGATATTCTTTATAAAAGTTAAGAGTCAACCACGCCTACCTAAAACGGCTCGTTCTAACACGCCCCTAAAAATCGACGCGTTTCAGAAAGGCGGGGCATAGAGGAGAAACAATAATGTACAGTATGTGGAAAATAATGTGTTTTTTGAACCTTAAACCGCATAAACACATTTCATTACACTAAATACACAAAATAATGTTCTTTTTAGCAGCATCATATGACCCCTTTAACAAATTTAAATACACTCTCACATAGAAAAGAGTAAGGGGGTGGTATGATTTTGCTTGTTTGTTTGTTTGTTTGTTTGAAAGAAGTCTGTTATGCTCACCATGGCTGCATTTCTTTAAAAAAGTGTAACTGTAAAATATTATTATTATTTGTGATTAAAAACAATGCAAAAATACTGATCAAGAAAACAATTTTTGCAGTGCATCTGAGTGTATATATATATATATAAGATTGATGGAACAGTACTATATGAAAGAGAGAAAGAGCAGGGAAAAAAAGAGAAGGAACATCAGGGCAGGAGCACAATGCTCATGGGCACTTTGGCATCTTAAATAAATGATAGCCTCAACCAAAGACGTGTCATCCTTACAGTGTAAATAAGCTTGCTGTGTGTTCCGACAGTTCAGGACTATCTGCTCTTTTCTGCTTCACAGAACAAGGGCCACGCATTACCAAGCATGACTTACCATCGGTATATGTGTATATTTGTGTTTATGTGCATGAGTGAGTCACAGAAAATAGTAAACCATTTTAAAATTGAAAAAACAACAAAAAAAAAAACATACACACAGATAAGTTGCTGGCACAGGGATACCTAAAGAGAGAACCCCTTCTGCGTGGTGTAAGTCCTGTTTGTGGTTCTTGTGCTGTACTGATGAAGCCACACACCTTGCATTACTACACGGGTTAGCACAGTGTCCGGATCAGTGCAGGCCTTTGGCACCATGTAAACATTAGTTCGTTTAGTTAGCACTCAGATATCCCACAGCTCTTTGGGAAATGGACGCAGGTTGAGAAGGTTGTCTTGAAACTCTTCTCGTAGCCCCGTCGTCTGTCCATGGATTCACCTGCCCTGAAAAATTTAAGAAGGGTGTTACATCATCTAGACAGATCGATAGAAAGCGGAAACATCAAATGCAAAGATCAAAAATGTTTTCAAATGTAGTTCCCTTTAACACACTGGACAGCAGGCAGTTTTAAGTAATAAACCTGTATGATTTTCTTTTCTTTCGTGGAGCTCAAATGTCTTCTGAAGACTGTCAGGAACATACAGGAAGTCGTTTTTGCTGAATATCTTCCTGTTTTACAAGGGCCACGCATTACCAAGCATGACTTACCATCGGTATATGTGTATATTTGTGTTTATGTGCATGAATGAGTCACAGAAAATAGTAAACCATTTTAAAATTGAAAAAACAAACAAAAAAAAAACATACACACAGATAAGTTGCTGGCACAGGGATACCTAAAGAGAGAACCCCTTCTGCGTGGTGTAAGTCCTGTTTGTGGTTCTTGTGCTGTACTGATGAAGCCACACACCTTGCATTACTACACGGGTTAGCACAGTGTCCGGATCAGTGCAGGCCTTTGGCACCATGTAAACATTAGTTCGTTTAGTTAGCACTCAGATATCCCACAGCTCTTTGGGAAATGGACGCAGGTTGAGAAGGTTGTCTTGAAACTCTTCTCGTAGCCCCGTCGTCTGTCCATGGATTCACCTGCCCTGAAAAATTTAAGAAGGGTGTTACATCATCTAGACAGATCGATAGAAAGCGGAAACATCAAATGCAAAGATCAAAAATGTTTTCAAATGTAGTTCCCTTTAACACACTGGACAGCAGGCAGTTTTAAGTAATAAACCTGTATGATTTTCTTTTCTTTCGTGGAGCTCAAATGTCTTCTGAAGACTGTCAGGAACATACAGGAAGTCGTTTTTGCTGAATATCTTCCTGTTTTAGCTCTCAAATGATTTCTGTGTGCTGGGTGCGTCACGTAAGATTTGAAATTAATTATGTCCAACATCATTGGTTCTTAAGTGTATCGTAGCCAATTGAGATGTGCTTGAAAGAGAAATAATTAAATTGAGAATTAAACAATGACTTTTCAGCCTGGTTTTCACACAAATCATATCATACGGCTTCACAAGACTTTGAATACAGTGCATGAGTCATACGGACCATGTTTTTATAGTACATTTATAATGCTTTTTATAGCAGTATAAATCACCATTCCCTTACAGATTCTGCTAAACTTCTATCGTGTTTCATGAATGAAAAATCATACAGGTTTGAAATGTCACAAGGTGAAATACTCCTTATATAAGCTTATATAATTCATAAATAATGAAACTATAAGCAAACCTGCACAATTATAGGCCTCTGAGTTTTGCATCAGGTTCCTCATGGACCTGGCTCAGATGGGAAAACGTTCCTCAGCTGTTCGATTACCTGCTGCAGCTGCAGTACGGTGAGTTTTGCATCAGGTTCCTCATGGACCTGGCTCAGATGGGAAGACGTTCCTCAGCTGTTCGATTACCTGCTGCAGCTGCAGTACGGTGTCCTGCTCGTAATCCAAATACTCACCTACACAACATTAAATGCTACAATAAACATGACCTCAACTAAATGCATCGCAAGTTTACAGCAACATATAAGCCTTATTCAAACAAGTCACATCCATTTGAATCCCATTATTGGCTGATGTTGGCAGGATGACAGGAAATGGCAGTTGTTCCAGGTCTTACCTGCAGCTTCTGTGTCTGTGGTCTCTCTGCTGGGAGGCTCCCCCTGGTGGTCACCCCCTGACACAGGAGAGGACAGAGAGGAAGGAGCTGAGCCATTGGCCTCCGAGTCATCTTTGGGCTGGTAGACATGACAAAATCATGAGAGAGCAAGAAAGCAATCAAATCCTAATCAACACAGTTCAGAACAGAATCCAGCCACATTGCTCTATCATTTCTGCAGTATGAACATGACCGTTCAAAAGTGTGGGGTTAGTATAATTTTGTTTTTATTCAGCAAGGAAGCATTAAATTGATCAAAAAAGACAGTGCAGATATTTATAATGCTACAAAGGAATTCTATTTCAAATAAATGCTGTTTTCTAACTATTATATTCATTACAGTTTCCACAAAAATATCAAGCCACACAACTGTATTCAACATTCATAATAATAATAAATGTTTCTTGAGCAGCAAATCAGCATATTAGAATGATTTCTGAAGGATCACTGACACTGAGGACTGGAGTAATGGCTGCTGAAAATTCAGCTTTACCATCACAGGAATAAAAAAATATATATTCAAATAGAAAAGAGTTATATAAATTGTAATAATATTGTACAGTATTACTGTTCTTATTGTATTTTTTATATAAATGCTGCCTTGGTGAAAATAAGAGACTTATTTCAAAAACATTAAAAAATAATCTTCCAAACCCCTTCTGAACAATATTACATAGTTCTTTTTCTAAATCTCATTTCATTTTTATATTTAATTTGATAAAATTTTAAATAAAATAAATATTGTAATACTGCACATAGCATTACATATACTGTACAAAGCATGTGTATACCCACAGATGTTCATAACTGTATACTAATAAATAGTATAGGCAATATATACTGTTCAGTATGCAGTTTACTAGCCTAGCAAAATAACAAAATACTATTGTTGGGTTCTTTGATGAGAAAAACAAGTTTTCAAATGCTGTCAAAAATCCAAACTTCTGTTTATCGAGCAGGGATTTGGCCCCTTTTCCATACATTACAAAAATGGTGTATTTTCTTGAGGGATGAAATAAACTGATACGAATCAAGAGAACACTAGCTTTTTTGAGAGAGGGAGATGAGTTGATTGAGGCTGTTTGCATGAATACCTCAAATTTATTCCAAGTTAAACTCTTTTATCGCCTTGCAGAGATGTCCACAGAGGTAAGACTGTAACTTTCCCAGCGACTTTCTAAGGGTGCAGAACGAAGAGTTCATATCTCCACAATCCCTGCACATTATTGCTTCCCCATGACACATCTCTCGCTCATTTTTATAGGTTAAGTCGATCTCTCTCCCCCTGTTCCTTCCCTCTATTTCCGTCTAATTCCTTTTCGCCTACAGCTACAGCCTCAGTGTTTTTGCTCCGCTCTTTCATTCCATCCAGCCTGCCAATCATACCTCTGCAGCACTACCTCTCTTTTTTCTGCACAACCACCTCTTATCCCATTCACTCAGCACTGCCTGAGCTTTTCTTTTCCCTCCTCGGCCTGCTTTCTGTCTTTCTTTGACTAAAGAAAAGAATCCTTTTTCTGCCCACTCTATTCTGTCATCTCGCTCCTTAAAGTCGGCATGAAACGGAAGTTGCGATTGTCTTTTCTTCTCTACTGTGACGTATATACGAGTAAAACGGCATCTGAAATGAGAGGGCAGGACTTGATTTCGTCCTTCGGGAACTGATTGGATCGTTGGAAGTTGGGGCGTTGCTAACAAAATGGAGGCAGATCTGAATGCCAGTTTGCAGTTAGTGGTGGGGGTTTTCTCTCCACTGGATTCACCGCCGACACCCAAGCATCAATAAATGTTTTATTTATTAAGGATGACAACGACGATCAATGGCACAAAACATGCCTAAACAGCGCGCGCGCACGAGAGAGAGAGAGACTGCCTGAATGACTGAGCAGGTCCTCCATCAGGTTAAGTCATATTCATGAAAAAAATTCGTTTGCAATGTCCTAAGAGTAATGTTGTCGTAATATCCTAATATCTTTTCA